TGTATTTCCTACGTAAGTGAGGACCTTTACTCTCGCATGATCGGATACGTTTGCTTGGGTGATTCGAGCCGTGAAAAGAGTGGTTTAGGCATCCTCGAGAACTCTGTTGATCTCGAGTGCCCTGCTAGATACTCGATGTATCTGTGATTGCATATCCTTCATGTTAGAGGTGGTTCGCTCTAATATTGCTCGTATCTTGGCTATCTCGTCTTCTTGAGCTTTGATTTTCGCTGTACGCTCATCGTCTAGTTGCGATTGCTCTACCCAGAATATGTTTTCCTCCTCCTCGTCTATGAAATCTTGATCTCGCTGGAGGCATGTATAGTTTTGTCAAGCGGGGACTCAGTCCTCGTCTCTAGGCTCGCGATTATTGTCTGAGTTGCACTTGCCGCTTGAATTGTCATCCAGGTCTATGATTGGAGGCTCTCAATTAGTTGGAGGTGCGCTCGTCATCATGTTTGGCTCAGCGATACTGAGGTTAGGACAGACTGGTGGCAGTCCGTGGATCCTTGGTGCGCCAGTTGGGGTGGAAAAATTCAATGCCGTCGGGTTGAAGCGTCCCTTGGACCTCCGTATCTAGCCAGCTCCCCTCTCTCGGGTTTGACTTGCCGTGGCTGCGGTCCTTCACTCCTTGTCTATCGCCGCGTTTCACACATCTTGTTCCGCCAAATTCTCCATCGTCGCCTTTATCTGGTGAAGGAATTATGGCGTTGCCTCCGTTGCTCCGGTGGCTCGATTCGCTCTAGAATTGTTGGCGCCGTTCTTCTTGGCACATGCCTTGCCCTCACCAGTGTTTTTGACTCCGGAGTTGTTTGCACCGTTCTTCTCGGTGCCTGCCTTGTTTGCGCCGGTGTTGTTGGCACTGCTGTTCTGAGCCTCCAACTCCTTCTCTCTGGGCGGTCTCTTATAGGGGTCTCGAACTCGTCGCTGGTGGTCATCTTCGTCACATCTGTTGTTGTGTGGTTCTTTTTGTGTAAGAGAATCTCAAGTGTCTCCTTAGACAGCGCCAAATTGTAGAGGTCTAAACCAACTCAATTGAATTTGTCAAAGGTTTTTAAGGGAAACGAGATCTCTGGGCAAGAATCGCAAGAACAACCAAGAACAAAAAAAAAAACATGAAAATTGCGTTAAGAAAGCTATACTGATTCTTTGCTAAGTGTTTCTGCGTAAAGCTGCGGATTCCCTTCTCAAGGGAAATACAATAATATTTATACAAGCTTTAGTCGGCTAGGTTTAACAAATAAGTTGAATAAGAAAGTTTCCTTATTCTCTGAGATTTCCTTTATTGAAGTCGGTGCTTGACATAACCTCGTCATTTTGGGCTTGACCTTGCCGCGTCGCCGTCTTGGACTTGCTATCCTCGGCCCATTGTTGCATAACAGGTTAAGTGGGCTAAACAATACTCGGCCCATTGCCTATTGTCTAACTCTTTAGGACGACGACGTCGGCGAGCTGCCGAGCACTCCAAGTGGCGATGTCAGCAAGGCAGTAGTCGACAAGGAGAGACATCGGCGCGGAAGATGTTGGGAAGGCAGTGGTCAGCAGAAGGCAGTAGTGTTAGGAGAAATGAGTGATTCTAGCGAGTTGTCCAGGTCTCTTGAGTGAACTCGGCACTATCTCATTTATGTCCGTTTTCATACTTAGCCATTTTAAGGAGAATAACTGTCAGAGGGAGTTTTGACCCCAATATTTTTTTCGAGAAAATTGAGAGATTATATTTTTGCTGGAAAATCTTAAGACATGGTTTTAGTTTAGCTAAATATTAATGGATCAACCATTAGCAATTCATTAACCAATTTTATTTTAACCCACTAAAGGTTTTACTTATAGGATAAATATGAAAAACTAACATAATTTTAAT